GCTGCGGGGGCCAGGCGGCGGAGACCCGGATGGAGCGCCCCGCGCAGGAAGGGTGAGCCGCTCGCTCAAGTCTCTGGGGTGAGGGTCAGAGGGGTGCATAGCCTCGTCTCACGCCTGAAATCCCAGCTGCCCAGGAGGCTGAGACCTGAGGATCACAGGCTGAGCCGACCCAGGCAGGAAAGTCCACGAGACTCTAATCTCCAATCAGCCACCCAAAAGTCAGACATGGAGCTGTGGCTCAAGTGATAGAGAGCCATTCTGAGTGAGAAAGCTAAGGGACAGCACCCAGGCCTGAGTTCAAGCCCCTGTACGGGAACAAAAGCCTCCCTGAGGCTTTGCCCCGGCGTGGTAGCCGCCCCGTGGGAGTGGTGGACATGGTCAGAGGGTGGTGGCCAAGCAGACCACGTGGAAGGGGCACCCGGGGGCTTGAGGACAAAAAGGGGGCCATCCCCCGAGGCCCAGTGGGAAGGCAGCGGTCCAGGCCGGCCCTCGGGGGTAGGGTTCCTTGTTCAAGGAGCAGGGAGGCCAGGAAATGTGGCTCACACCTGTAATCCACGCTACCTGGGAGGCAGAAGCTGGAGCATGGGGGTGTGAAGCCAGCTCAGGCAAAAAGCCTGCCAGGCGCCCATCTCAACCAGCAAGCCGGGCATGCACCTGGGATCCCAGCTACACAAGAGACGTGGGTGACCCTCCCCCCAAAATAACCAAAGCAAAAAGGGCTGGGGGCATGGCTTACGTGGTAGAGCTTCTGTCTGGCAAACAGGAGGCCCTGAGTTCAAACCCAGTACCCTCAGAAACAGACAAAGAATGAGCGCACGGAAGGGGCTCACCCACGCTGAGCCCCACTCCCTGCAGGGATGCCCAAGGCGTATACCAGCTGGCCACACTGCTGCTGGAGCTGGACGTGGACGATGAGACATCGCGCCTCCTGGTGGCCGACTGCCTGTACTGCCTGGGCCGCCTGGAGGAAGCCCACAGGTGCTTGCTGGTGGCCCTCTCGCGGAGGCCCCAGGCAGGCCCTGTGCTGGCCAGGCTGGCCCTGCTGCAGCTGCGGAGGGGCTTCTTCTATGATGCCAACCAGGTGAGTCAGCCGGGCAGGCAGAATTGGGCACCGCTCCGTGGAGGGCACGGGCCGCCTCCGGCCTTGGCTCTGTGGCTTCTTCAGCCCCAGCTCTGCCACCTGCACAGGCCCTCGCCTTCCCGACCCTCAGACTCCTCACCTGTGCCTGTGTCTATGGGTATCGTGGGGGTTGACTAAAGCCAGAAGCCCAGAGCCTGGCAGGCTCCTGTGTGCGGTAGATACTTCACATTTGCTTTGACAGAGGTTATGAAGAAAAGGGCCATACACTAGGCTGGGACATGACTGTGCCCAGGATGGGGAGTGGACAGCGGAAGGGGCCCAGCCTGTCCCTGAGCCTTGCCTGCCTCCTTACACCTGTGCAGAGAGACCCTTCCTATTTGTGCCAGGACCCACAGGCCAATTTGGGGGGAACTTCAGGCTTTGGAGTCTGGGACCTGCCAGCCTCTTCCTTTCTCTCTGACCTGGTTGGAGTCCTGGTCCTCTTGGCCCAGGTGGGCCCCCTGGAGGGCAGGACACTCTTTGATCGGCTGTCCTGCTCCACCCTGGGAGCGCATCTTCACCAGCAGCCAGCAGGGGACAGCACTGGGAACCCTTGGGTGGCTTGGGGAGAGACATTTTTGTCTTCTGAGGGTCTTGCCCTGCCCCAAGCATGGACTGACCCTGCTTGGCCAGGCCTGAGCTCCTGCTCCACACCTTCTGAATGACTTCTTTGGGCCTCTGTAGGTTAGAGATTGCAAGCTCACGCCTGTCATACCCACCTCCCAGCCAGGTCTTCACCTCCTGGGGCAGAGGAGACTGGAATCAGAGCCATAGGGGCCCTGAGCCCACCCTGCCCAGTACTGCAAGTGAGGACCAGAGCGTCCCTTGAGAGCCCCCACACACAGCTCATGACTCCTTTCCAAAGCTTGGGTCCAGCAGAGATCCACCTGGGCTCAGCAATGAAGCAGAGAGGGGGCTGGTGCCAGCATGGGGAGGGGAGGAGCCAGGGAGATGGGAGCCATGTATACTGGGAGGCATGGAGCAGAAGGTAAGAAGGGACAGTGGGGCAGAAGGGACGTCAGGGGTGACTCTGCTCCTGTCCCCGCAGCTGGTGAAGAAGGTGGTCCAGTCCGGAGACACGGCCTGCCTGAAGCCCACCCTGGACATCTTCTGCCCTGAGGACAGACAGCTCTTGAGACACCACTGCCACACCCGGGCCTTGAGCATCCTGCGGGCACGGCCAGGTGGGGTGGACAGCGAGGCCCACACCAGGGAGGCCATCGCCTACCTCTCTCTGGCCATCTTTGCCGCAGGTAGGAGCTCCCACCTACCCAAGAGCCACAATGCTGCACTGGCCACAAGTCCTGGGGGCACACATGGGTGAGCAGGGTGGGGACTCCTCACCAAGGGCTCTCCTGCCAAGGCCTTGGTTCTCTCTACAATCCGATCAAGGCTTGGAAGGGTCTGGGCCAGCAGACGTCCGGAGGGGCATGGCAGCGATGTCTTCCTTGGGGGAGGATCTCCTCTTCCCAGAATTTAGGGCCTCCTCCCTGGCTTCTCCCCAGAGGCCTCACCTCCTGTCACTCATGCCATGCTCTGAGGAGCTGCTCCTGCTGGGCCTCCCCTGGCTTTGCCTCAGCCAGCTGCATGGCCTCCAGCTGTCCACCAGGCCCCACCCGCCTGACCTGTGGCCAGCAACCAGGCCGGCCTGTCTTGTTGCCCCATGGGGTGAGAGCTTCCCAGGGTGAATCCTGCAATCCGGACCTAGGATCCACCTGGGATGGGCATCAGAGGGACACCAGAGGAGGGGACACTGGGGGGACAGCGGAGGAGGGCCCAGCCACGACCATGTCCTAACACACGTGCCTCCCGCAGGGAGTGAGGCCAGCGAGCCCCTCCTCACCCGAGCCCGCTGCTATGGGCTCCTGGGCCAGAAGAAGACCGCCATGTTTGACTTCAATTCCGTGCTGCGGGCAGAGCCAAGGAACGTGCAGGCTCTGTGCGGACGGGCTCTGGTGTACCTGGCGCTGGACCAGCTGCAGGTGCCAGACTGCCCTCCTGACCTGGGTGGGGGAGACCCAGGGCCCTCCCTTCCTTCTCTGCCTGGGGAGGCCAAGCAGGGTCAGGTCATCATGAGCTTTAAGACCAGAGTCTCCCATCCTCCCACCTGCACTGTGGGTGATGGGACCACATCCCCGGGGAGTTCTGCCCGTCTGTGAGCCCAGTCACAGTCTGCATGAATAGATAGCACTTAAGCCCTTGGGTGAGTGGAGGGTTCTGGTTTAAACTAACTCCTCAGTGGAGGCAAGGGTCCCTCTAATGGGGTGTGGGCCTTGAGGTAGCCCCTCAGCTGCGTGGGTGGGGGTGATATATGCACTCATGTGTTGCAAAGGGTTTGTAGAACAAGTACAGAGGAAGAAGTATCAGCTTTGATTAGTCATGTCTGCCACACAGGAATGGAAACTTTCAGACTCTGATTTAAGCTTAACATACTTGTTTTTTTTTGTTTGTTTTTTTTTGGGGGTCCGGTCATGGGGCCTGAACTCTGGATCTGGGCGCTGTCCCTCAGCTCTTCAGCTCAAGGCTAGCGCTCTACCACTTGAGCCACAGCGCCACTTCCGGCTTTTCTCTTTTTGCATATGTGGTGCTAAGGAATCGAACCCAGGGCCTCAGGCATGCAAGGCAAGCACTCTACCACTGAGCCACCTTCCCAGCCCCATACTTGTTTTTTTTTTAAGTGATATTTATGTTATATATTTAAGGCCTTGTACAGATAGGACTTGAGTCCAAAATGAAATACCAAGGGCCAGACTGGCTGGAATAAACCCCATTCACACATCAGAGACACAAAGTCCATGCCTTCCCCAGGCCTGCCCCTGAGCACAAGCACAGGAACTCAAGACAGCAGGGTTCAAACTCAGGTGGGAAACCTCAGCTAGAGAGCCTCACCTCTCCTACCTCAGTTTCCTCTCCTATAGGACAGGCTGCTAGACAGCCAAGCAGAGAAAATCACAAGGAACATTGTAAATGCTGAAAGATGAATTAAAATGAAAACAGTACTGTGTGAGACACAACCAAATTATGCTGGGATGTTTACAGATGCAAATGCTACAAACCCAGCAGTGTCCACACCTGTAATCCCAGCTACATGCTGCTACTCAGGAGGCAAAGGCAGGAGGATCAAGTTCTGAGGGCTGCCTGGGCAATGTTAGCAAAACCCTATCTGAAAACAGAAGGGCTCGAAGTGTAGCTCAAATGGTAGAGTACCTGCCTAATGAGTATGAGTCCCTATAGAGAAAAAGGAGAAAGAGAAGATGAGGAGGTGGAGGAGGAAGAGGCGGAGGAAGAGAAGGAGAAGGAGAAGCAGCTGCTTCAAATCACCAGCTTCAGGAACTAGAAAAAGAACCACCCAGATTGGATAACCTACATGATATGGTGGCATGGACAAAGTTGAACCAAGAAGTATAAAATTTACCAAGGCTATGACTAGTAGAGATTTAATCAGTCATTAAAACTTTCCTGATGGGCTAGAGGGATGGCTCCAGTGGTAGAGTGCTCATCTAGCAAAGTCTGAGTTCAAGCCAAGCACTGCAAGATGTAAGAAAGAAAGAAAAAGGGAGGGAAGGAAACAAGAAGACAAGCCCTGGACCTTCATAGCTGAGCTCACTGAACATTTAAAGTACATCATTCCTCAAACTTTTCTTTACGAATAGAAAAGCAAAGGTGCCTCCTAACTCATCCTGACCCAGCATCCTGGGGCACCAAAGCCACATGACACAGCACACAGACATCCTTCATGAGCACTAACACTAAACTCCTCAACAAATACTAGCACAACAAATTCAGCAGCATGCAAAAGGTTTATACACCATGACCAGGAGGGGTTTGTTGGTGGGTATGCAAGGATGGTTCAATCTCCATTACATGTCATTATGGGATGAAGTTGGGAAGCACAAGGCCCTCTCAACAGAAAAGGCATATGACATAATTTAACACTCTTCTATGATTAAAAACACTCAGCAGGCCGGGCGCCAGTGGCTCACGCCTGTAATCCTAGCTACTCAGGAGGCTGAGATCTGAGGATCGCGGTTCAAAGCCAGCCTGGGCAGGAAAGTCTGTGAAACTCTTATCTCCAATAAACCACTAGAAAACCGGAAGTGGCACTATAGCTCAAGTGGTAGAGTGCTCGTCTTGAGCCGAAGAGCTGAGGGACAGCGCTCAGGCCCAGAGTTCAAGCCCCACAACCAAAAAAAAAAAAAAACCACTCAGCAAACTAACAATAGACAGAAATTACCCCCAATATAATAAAATGCATATGAAAACCAACAGTGAACATCAGACCAAATGAGGTCAGGTCAGAAATAAGGCAGGGCGGACACTTGAACCACTGTTCAACACAAGGCAAAAGTTCTACCCACAACTATAAGAGAAAGAAACATGAGGCTTGAAAATGGGAAAGGAGGAAGCAAAACTACCTTTGTTGCTTTGTTACAAATGATATGTAAGTAAGGATTCCATGAAAAGCATATATAAAAGCCTATTGGAATTCAAATGAATTCCACACAGCATCAGGGACACAAACTCAGCACATGAAAACCTGCTGCATTTTTTTTTGGTCAGTCGTGGGGATTGAACTCTGGGCTTGGGCGCTGTCCCTGTGATCTTCAGCTCAAGGCAAGCACTCTACTGCTTGAGCCACAACGCCACTTCCACCTGCTGCATTTTTGATGACACACAAACCACAAAAAAAAATCCATAAAGGAAATTTAGAAAGCAGTTTCATTTACAATAGTATTAAAAATGACAAAATGCATAGGAATATTCTAAAAATAAATTCAAAAGGTGTATACAACAGAAACTACAAAACATTGATAAAAGGAATTAAACACAAATAAGCAGAAACACATCCCACACTCACAGGGTAGGAGGTTTAATACTACTGGTCTACAAACTCCATGTAGTCAACCCCGTGCTGTCCAGGCTCCACAGCCTCACAGCTGACATCGTAGCTACACGGGAGGCTGAGATGGGGAGAATCAGGGTTTATGGAGCAATCCTGGCCAAAAGTTCATGCAATGCCCATCTCTGAAGCAAAAGCTGCATAGGGTGGCCTATGCGTGTCATCCCAACTAAATCTGGGAAGTGTAAATAGGAGGATCAAGGTTCAGGCTACCCTGGAGAAAAAGCAAGAACTCTATCTCAAAAAGAACCAGGGTGAAAAGAGCTGGAGATAGGGCTTAAGCGGTGTAGTGCCTCCCTAGCCCGCATGAGGCTCTGAGTTCCAGTCCCAGTCACCAAAAAGAGAAGAAAAAAAAAAAAGCATTGTGAAATTCATATGACATTTCAAGGGACAGTGAACAGTGAAAGCCATCTTGGAAGAGGACAATGCTGGATGATCCTAAGCTTCCTACAAAGCCACAGAGGCCAGCTGCAAATGACTTACCTTATCAACAGATGATCCTTGATCCCCCATGCCCTCTTAAAGAGGCCGGCCTCTCTGCCCTCTGCCTCCCTGCTTCCCCGAAACTCTGACCTGTGTGCACCAGCCACGTCCACCTCTCCCTGTGGGCTTTCTGTCAGGCAAGCCCTCCCTGTCCAGTCCTTAGTACACTTGATGATGCTGGGCCTTGACATGCCCGCGGGTAGCAGTGCCAGGAGGCTGAAATGGAGGATGGACAGTGGGCACAAGGTCGGGCAGACACACAGACCAGGGAGCCGAGTCCTTCAAATGCCTGACCAGAGACAGGCCGTGGGGGGGATGGCTGCGGGAGAGGATAGAAAGGAAGGCCGGAGGCGGGGTGGAGCAGACCCACTGGGGCCCCAAGGGGAGAACTGCGTAGGGACTGGAAAGACCCCGGCCACGCTCCCGTTCTGCCCACCTGCCTCTGCTGGGTGACCCCACACCCACCCCACACTCCTGTCCCCTAGGAGGCTGTAGAGGACATCGTCTCTGCTCTGAAGCTCAACCCAGAGCTCGTGGTCCCTGAGATCCGCTCTCTAAAGCCAGAAGCCCAGGCGCTCCTCACCCGGGGCCTCTACACGCACTGCCGGGCCCTGCTGGGCCAGCGGGTGGGCGCGAGCGCCCCCTGCGAGGACGAGGACTCCAGGGGCCTCCTGGTTGTCGGGGAAGCACTTGTCAGAGTCGATGCTGCCCAGCCAGCCTGGCACGTCCTGCTCACAGACATCCTGACAGCACTGGGTATGTGACAGCCCGGGTGGGCACGTGGAGAGCCTCTCCCACCTCCCAGCCTCCGCACGCCTTTCTGCGAAATGAGAGCGCCCCGGGACTGTTTCCACTGCGGCCCTGAACGCCAGCCCTCCCTCTGGCAGCTCTCCTGGTTCTCCAGCCACACAGACCCGACCTGACCCTCCCCTGGTCCACTCCATGTCCAGCAGGTGCCAGGCTGTGTCCTGGGCATGTGTGTGCCCAGGCAGGACTTTCCTGGCATGGAATCCTGAGGTGCAGTGGCCAGTGCTGTCCCCTCCTGGGGCTGGCTGTGCCCTTACCAGCTGGACCTTGGCCAGCAGGCAGAGCAGGGGAGGGCGGGGCAGCAGGGTGACCCCCTCTTGGGCACTCCTGTGCTACAGCCCCGCTGATGACTGAGTTTCCTGGACCTGACAGGCAGCTACGAGGAGGCTGGTGCCCGCCTGCGGGAAGCCCTGAGCCCCCCTCCACCGCCAGAGGCGGCCCAGGCCCGGCGGGGTTTGCTTCGGCTGAAGACGGGACAAGATGTGCCAGCAGCTGCTCGGGACCTGCAGCGCCTGGCAGAGACCGATGCCCCTGATCTCCAGTTCCTGCTGCGTCTCCTGGAGGCCCCGGAGCGACAGAGCCTCGCTCAGGTTTGCCTCACCCCAGCCACACTGCCCTCCCTGGGACCTCAGGCGGCAACGTCCCCCTGCTGAGTTAGCTGCAGCTGGGGTGGGGTGGGAGCAAGCAGAGGCTCCAAGTGTGACCACCTGAGCCTGGGCAGCCACTGGCTTCTTAGGGTGAAGCCAGTGATGGAGGGGGTTCCCCCAGGGGCCAGCCAGGGGCACCTCACCTGGCAGGAAAGCACCCCAGCACGCAGCACCAGGCCTGCTAGGAGAGGGAGACTGGGTGTTGGGGGGAGGGTCAAGGGGATCAGGACACAGGCCTTGGGCTTCAGGGACGAAGGGATTCTCACCCCAGGACTGGGAAGTGCTCCTCTGCAAGGCCCTTTTCTCCCTGGCTCTGAGTTCTGGCCGCAGGCACCATACACTAGGCCACACCAGGCCTCACCAGGCCACATGAGACCACCTGATCACACCTGACCTGCCTGACCTCACCTGACTGTACCTGATCTCACCTGACCACACCAGACCACACAAGACCACACCTGACCATGAGACCACCTGATCACACCTCATCACACCTGACCACACAAGACCACACCTGATCACACCTGACCCTGCCTGACCTCACCTGATCATGCCTGACCACACCTGACCACAGAAGACCACACCTGA